ATCCACCTAGCTACCTTCTAAAGAGGATAAAAACAAATAAATATCAGATAATTAGAGAAGGAGGGTGTTAGCACTTGGGAATCTGGAAAGGCTTTACATAGAAAGTGACCCTGGAACTATTATTTATTATTATTGTCGTTGTCGTTAATTAACTCTCTCTCCACTAGGGACATGTTTTGTCTTTGTATCTTCAGGACCTAACACATTGCCTGGCACACAATAGGTACTTAATAATAAAAAATTTAAATAAATAATAAATAAATAATAAAATAAAATTGGATCATGTTTTTAAAGCTTCTTTACAATCTTGTGATTGTACTACAGGTGTTACTATTAATTTTACAGATGAGCAAACTGAGGCTCAGAGACTTACTCAGGATCATACAGCTAGGAAGTATTAGAAGTGGAAGTATTTAATTAAGGGAATACCCATCAATTGCGGAATGACTAAACAAGCTGTGGTATATGATTGTGAAGGAATACTATTGTGCTATAAGAAGTGACAAGCAGGATGCTCTCAGAAAAACCTGGGAAGATTCACATGAACTGATGCAAAGTGAAGTGAGCAGAACCAGGAGACAATTGTACACAGTAACAGCAATACTATACAATGACCAACTATGAGTGACTTAGCTATTCTCAGCAATCCAATGATCCAAGACAATTCCAAAGGACTTATGATGAAAAATGCTATCCACCTCCAGAGAAAGAACTGATGGAGTCTGAATGCAGATCGAAGCATATTTTTTTTTACTTTATTTTTCTTGGTTTTGTTTTTATTTTGATTTGTGTTTTCTTTTGCCACATGGCTAATAAGGAAATATGTTGTGCATGACTTCACATGTATGATCTATATCAAATTGCTTGCCTTCTCAAGGGGGGAAAGGGAGGGAGGGAGAAAGAGAATTTGGAAATCAAAATTAAAAAAAAAAACAAATGTTTTTTTAAAAATGTGTACATGTAATTGAGAAAAATAAACTAAAAGAAAAAAAGTAGGATTTGAACCTAGGTATTCCTGATTCCAACACCCTTATCTACTCATGGAATCCATCTGGCCTTGAGTATTCAGGGAAGAATCCATGAGGGGTTGAGCTAGCTAGTGTTTTAGATGAGCAAAGAAGAGAGAACCCACCTAATCCTCCAAAGGAGAGATTAAAAAACCAAAGCAGCAAAGAGAGATTAAAAGACCAACCCCTGGCCCAGAGGAGAGATTAAAGCAGTCCTTTAGTGATCATAGCTGTGCTTTAGTCTGCCTGTGAAAATATTCCCAGTGAGGACACCGGTAGTCCTTCAGCTGCTGGTGGGGCAGGCAGCTCCACAAACCTAAAGCAGAAATCTGGGGCTTAGGGTGCGAAGGGACAGTGACCTCAAAACAAAATTCCATCCCTCTCCTGTGGACAGCCCAGTAGTAGCTGAATTCTGGGATTCTATAAAAGGTATTGTTTTGAGTTCCATATTACTAAATGAGTTTTAACTCAGGACACAAGAAAGTCAAGGTCTTTGACTGGCCATTCAAAATCCCCAGCCCTGGGTGGTTGGCACCACAGTCAGAAACAAAGAACCCAGTGACCTCCTGGTTTGAGAATGTGTTTGACTGAAAGAAATCCCTGTCTTCCCTCCCCCACCCCACTAGATCTTCTACCTGGAATTCTAGGTACATCCACCAGAAATGAAAAGCAATATGTTTGCTCAACCCATGTGAGTACAGGGTGCGGGCAGGCACCCAAAAGGATGCATCTGGGCACCAAAATGAGACAGTGGGATGAGGGGAGTAACCTTTGCATCCAGGGGGATGCTGGTATGGCTGGCTGCAATGTTCATCCCAGACAACATCTTTGACCCTGGCAGAGAGTAACCCACAGCAGGCGCGTCCAGGCTTTCGATCTCAACTGATTTCCCTGAATTCTTCCTGTGTGTGTCTTTTTCCTGTTATTGGAAACTGAATCCTAATTAACTCTGGCAGGCTTCAGAAGCAGCAGGAAATTGTGTGTGTGTGTGTGTGTGTGTGTGTGTGTGTGTGTGTCACGCTTTTTTTTTTAAAGATAACTACTTCAGAAACAAGCTGTGTAGCATTAATTAGTTGGGATTTTCTAGGATGTGTAAAAACAAAAGATATCAATAAAAATTTATTTTAAAAAATGAGTTAGATTTTTATTTTTAAGGTTAACACTTGGCACAGTGACTAGAAGACCAGACAGCATGAGAATGGGAGAGGCCTGAGTTGAACCCTGCCTCTGCTACAGATTAGCTACCAGAACCTGCAGTTGCTGTCCTAAGCAAATCACTTAACCTCTCAGTGATCGGGCCCCTCTATAAAACAGGGGTCTCAGCCATTTTTTTCTACTGAAATCCGTGGACCTCATTTCAAAGTAATGATTTTAAAGACCTAAAATAAAATATATTGGATTACAATGAAAATGAATTACATTGAAATATGTACAGTTGTTATGTTATTATATATATACATATTTATAAAAAGAAATTCAGGGACCCCAGGTTAAGAACTCTGCCTCTAACACTAGGTTGCAGCACCCACATCAGAGGTCCAGGCCAGTGTCAGCAGTCCTGCAAGGCCTGCAGTTTCAAGGACCTTCTTTCAGCTCTCCATCAAAGCCACCTTGTAAAGATTAGGGGATGGAGGGGAGGGTGTCAGCCAGTGGGGGTCGAGGAGTATTTTCCCACCGGGGAGGCACTCTTGAAAATGCAGGGCTCTTAGAATCACACCATCCTCCCTATTCCTCCTCCCCCTTCCCGGAATGCTCTTCAAGGCATCAAGGATGAGGGGCAGGTGAGGAAAAGCTTAATAAAAATAAAGCCGTCACCAGCCTCGGAGGGGGCACACTGCCCCCTGCCTCGCTTGTCCCTCACCACAGGCTCCAGAGGAAATGCTTGGCCTGCTACCCTGGGCAGCCAGGCCACAGGGCTGGAACAAGTCAGGCAGTCTTCTGGGGACTGGGGCAGATCTTTAGTAACTAACTGGCTAAGTTCTGCTCTGCTGCAGCTATGATCCGAAGCCTGGGCTCCCCAGGAGACCCCAGCCATACTACCTTCCATTGTGCCTGAGATCCACCCGCTTCAGAGGAAAGGTAGTGTAAATAACCCCCCAAATCACAAGACCTACCCAAAGGGGGGAACTGGGCCCTGGTATATTTTCCTTATGGCTTAATCTGCAAAAAGAAAACAAAACCGGTGTTTAACCAGCTGAGCTCCAGTTGATTGCGGGAAGGGGAGTCAATAAAAGAGACTATAGTCTCAGTTACCTCCAAGGCATTCATGCCAGCCCTAGCGGGCAAGGACCTTTAATGGTTCCCACTGGCTGCACCACCAAATCCATGCTCCTTTAAGCTAGCATTAAAGACCTTCTGCCATTTGGCCCCAACCGGGAATAGTGGGAAAGAGGCAGAGTTTGCAGTTAGGAAGAGCTGAATTCAAATCCCTCCGCAAACACTAACTAGCTGTGTAACCATGGGCAAGTCTCTTAACCTCTCTATGCCTCAGTTTCCTCATCTGTAAAATTAGAAGACTAGACTCAATATCCTCTAAGCCTCCCTTCCAGCTCTAAATCTATATTTTCATCATCATTTCTGACTACTGTCCTCTGCGTGATCTTCAGCTTATAAACTTCCTCCCTAAAATAGCGCTGAATGCAATACTCAAGACAGGGGGGAAAAGGTATTAGACAAAATGATCAATTATCAAATCCCCAAAGAGTGTGGCTTTACAGTCCCCAAAACCACCACTGTCCATCCAGTTGATTTATTTCTTTTCTGTAATCTGTTGTCATGTGAGTCAAAAAAAAAAAAAAGAAGAAGAAGAAGAAGAAGAAGAAGGAGAAGAAGTCCAGAAGCTAATGCTTAATCAATAAAGTAGCACCTGGCATTTTTCATCAAAAAACAGCCACAGTTTTCCATAGAGCTATATTCCCTATCCTACCACTTTCTGACTCAGTGAGGCAGCCTGTGTGGGGAAGAGTCTGGCCTTTGGAATCAGAAGGGCTGGATTCCAAACCTGACTCTAACACCTAATTGTGTGGCCCTTGGGTTGGTCACAAAAACCTTCTGAGGGGCAGCTAGGTGGGCGCAGTGGATAGAGCACAGGCCCTGGAGTCAGGAGAACCTGAGTTCAAATCCAGCTTCAAACACATATCACTCACTAGCTGTGTGACTCTGGGCAAGTCACTTAACCCCAACTGCCTCAGCTCCAGTATTCCCACGTGGAAGGGAGATAACCCTGGAGCAACCTACTTCAAATGTTTTGTAATGTGCTATACAAATGTGATGTCGACAACAAACATTTACTTATTAAGTGACTACTGTGTACACAGCATTGTATTATGGGGAAAAGTTCCCTGAGAAAATGCAAAGTTCAGATAAGGCACAGTCCCTGCCCTCGCGAAGTTTACAATCTAGTAGGGCCGGGCGCTCTATCCACTGAAGCGCCACCTGGCTGCCCTCAAGTCACTGCAGTAAGAAGCATCCGAGGGGGGATTTAAACCCAGGTCCACTGCCTCCATGATGTCACTCCCTCCCATCACATCATCAAATGAAACTGCCCACAAATGGTAACAGACAAGAGAGTGAGCAGCTCATAGCCACACAATGGCATTCAAAAAAGATGTTTATTTCTATTTACTTTCAGCAAGATATCTCTATTTTAAGATATCTTAACTGATAGACACTCTGCTCACCAATCCCTGATTCCAGCTATTCCATTAATCTGGCTGGTTCCTCCTGTCTCTGGTCCTCACTCAGGCTATATTTCCAGATTGCTAACACAGCACTTAGGCTGCAGAAACCTTGGCTTACTTAAGGTCTTTCAGTAGAAGGTAAATTCCCAGAGGACCAAAACTGTCGGGTCTTTGAATGCCCCTTTCCTACCACAGTGCCTCACGTGTAGCAGATGAGCTGAATTAAAATGAATTCTAAAACAAAGTGATTTGGGTACAATATTTCCAAAAGAAGACCACAAATATAGGAGTCACATGGGCCGACCTGACCTACCTGCTGTCGCCAAACACCAACTCATCAACCCCAACATGGTGACCATCCACTGAGACGCCATTTTGGTCTCTTGGGGAAAGCGAGAGTCTTCCCCGGTCAGCTTGGCTTACGGTTGTTCCTGTCACAGGCTGCCTCTGGAAATCAGAAGAGGCTCTGAAATCACTTCTTCCCAACTCTTCAATCGCCTGTGAAAATAAACATTAATTTTAACTGGAATCTTTCTCTAAAAAAATGCCCTTTCCTTTGAAAAATCAAGTTAAGGTGAAATAGAAGCATTTCCAAAACATACAAGCCATTTTTTAAAATTTCATGAGTTGGTTAAAAAAGGAACATTTTGTCCATGAACTCATTCACATTTTTTTTCCTCCTCCAGGCCCTGTTCTTAGTACACCTGACTCCAACCTTATCAGGCTCCACAAAGCAACTGTTCTTCAATTTTGTAGCTAAAAGTACTTGTTTATAATGCGGAGCCCAGTGGATAACTTGTGTGAACCGATACAGAGTTGCAGCAATCAGAACCAAGACCAATACAAACAATGATGGCTATAATATGAATGAAAACGTTAAAAAGCACTCAAACTCAGATTAATTGCAATGACCACTCCTGGTTCCAAGAACAGGCGAGGAAGTGCATTTGCCTCCTCATGGCAAAGAGGCAGGGTCTGACCAGACCAGGACATTGCCCACATTGTCCAATACTAGTCATTTTGTCATTCATATTTGCTTAAGTGTTTTGCTTTGTTACAAGACAGAGCTCAAAGTGAGGGTGATATAATTTTCAATTATACCAGGAAATGATTGTGTATCAAAAACAAAAGCCATCCAAGAATTTTTTTTTAAAATAAAAAAGAAATTATATAGGAAAAATCACATGCACAAATAGTTGACTGATTATTCACTGTACAAAATGGCCTCTTCATTTTACAGAAGGAGGATTTTTACCACCAGATTCCTTCAAATAGCCCAAGCCTTTCTTCCATTGAAAATGATTTGATTTATAAACAACACTCTTGGAACATATGTATTACTTAAGAGTCAAATGAAGGGACAGATTTATTGTATATCCTCTGGTACAGTAAGAGCTGGGGGATGAGGACTGGTCCTCACTCCTTCCATCCACCTTAGCCTCTGGTCCAAGGTCCTAGAATTGACTTGCCCAAAGTTAGTGTGCCCAACGTCCACTTGCCCAACTTGGTTGGGCAGCCCACAGTGCAGGCCAAGCAGCAGCCTGAGGCCTCAGACCCTGCCATTATTTATTGTAGTATTTTTGCATTTCTTAACCATGTAACATATATGAAACCATGCTATCGTTTTTAAATTAAATTCCTATTTTTTTTACTTTTCAGTTACAGAGTTTTTGAGTGTAGTGCCCCTAACCAGATTTTTTCCATAAGCCCTGTGGTTTTTATTGCTTGATTGTGCATACAGCGATGCTTTTGGGAAACATATATATCAAGTTATATACAGCAGAACAGTGTGTACCTCTAATATGTTAGTGATATAAAACATCTCCTACACACACTGCCAATGGGAATAAATTACATAAGTTACATATGTCCTTCAAAATCAAGAAAAAGCTGTTTGCTTTAAAGAGTCACTTCTTAGACATAATTTACTGATGAAAAATAAGATTAAAAAATAAAAGGAATATAAATCTTTTTTTTTAAGGAATTAAAGAAATCAGGGCAAGAAAAGAGGAGACACCGATATATGCATTCCCCTGAATTTCAACAATCATCATTTCAATTTTTATAACTAATGAAAATATGTTTCACGTGAGTCATGGACACGTGACTTAAGAATCACTCTTGAAGATATTTCAGCTTCTCTCCCTAGAGGCTGACCCTCAGAAAGGCTGCAGAGATCAAGCTATTCCACACATCTAAAGGCCAATCACATCTCACAGGGACTTCAAATATGAAGAATAACTTGCTCTCTCCAGGCCCTGAGGCACCAGTGACCTCAAGGACACAAGCTGAAAGGGACATCTGGATGGGCTAATTGCTCTAGAGATCCCTCAGCTAACAGTTGTATAGCCAGCCTTTTAAATTCAGGTTTTTTCCCCATTTTGTTATACTTTTACTAAAAGTGTAGATAATCTCTTAAAATGTAAATGAATATTATAAAGCATAAGATCTTTAAAATCACTTAAGAGCCTCTGTGGATAGCCTGTTCACATCTACCTACTGTAGCCAATGTTGAGCCAGGGACAGATGTCTAAATGCTAAGTGGTTACCAGGATGACAATGTCTTTAATAGTCTGAAAAGTCATTCATTGAGGATCAAAGAACTCTCCTTGGATAGCAGAATGGGCCTCCCAAAAGGCAATGTGCCTAAATGGACAGTCTACCCCGGAGATGCTGATGACCACTCCTGGAACGGAATATGCAATTTCACCCCCAAAACTGAAAGAGAACTAGAGTGCAATCACAGAAATCATGGAGACCATAACCAAGAAAAATGGATGTGAGATACATAGATAGAAAGAAAGAATGGCTAGAGAGAAATAGGTAGAGATATACACACATACGTATATACATATAAACATAAGTGTGTATATATTACATATACATACATACGTATGTACATATAAACAAAAGGGTGTGATATATTATCATATATCACATTTAATGTATAGAACATGACTTTTTGGCATACATGTATAGATATGAGCAGATAAATACACAGCTGTCTTTCTTCTCTTTGGGGTAGCAGATTAAAGAACAAGGCTGCAGGTGAGTTCTTTTTCCTCTCTCCAGACACAGCCCAAGTAGTTGTGTGTGCATCGGGCAGTAATAATAGTTAACATGTCCACAATGCTTTAAGGTATGCAAAGCACTTTACAAATATTATTTCATTTTATCCTCACAACTCTGAGACGTAGGTGCTATTATTATCATCCCCATTTTACATATGAGGAAACTGAGGCAGACAGAGATTAATAACTTGCCTAGGATCATGGTAGTAAATGTTTGAGGCTAGATTTGAACTCAGTTCTTCCTGACTCCAGGGTCGGTGCTCTATCCACTAGGTCAAGCCTGTCTCTTGTTCCAGCCTTGAGACCAGCTGAAGACCTTTGAAGTCTCAGGTCAGCTCTTTTCCTAAGTTGATACTTTTCAAAGTTGGATATCTAAAGGTAAATTTAATCCTTATTATGATTTATGTGTATGGATAGATTTTAGAATTTAGAATTAAAAGTAGATTCTCCATTCACAAATTTTGGTAAATATACAAGCTTGTATTAGGTAGAAGTTTCTTCAGGTCTTATAAATGGATGATTCATTAAGATGCCCACAGTGTGCCCAAGAAATTTGTATATGTGTGATTTCTTGGACATGTCAGTATATTTAAACATTCTTTCTCCAAGATCTTAAGAATTTAGGAAATTTATTTCAAGGTAAAAATGGAGACATGATTTTATTTAGGTACTATAGAAATTCATTTCCCCACCCAATCTAGGTATGCAGGGTAAGTAAGACCACTCTGCCTGTGGATTTGTGAAATATTTTAAATTGCCACGTACACACTGTTGGCTTGTTTCCAGTCTCAGTTTTAGCACTAAAAATGAAACTGCATCTTCATTTCCGCCACCCCATCAATCAGATCATGCAAAAATAAAAACAAAACCCTCCACTTGCAAACAGTCAGAAACACATATAAAAATCCATTTGATAATATCTTGGGAAAATGAATTCCATCAGGGTATCACAGTCTTGATCTATCACTTTACATGATTTATGGTCACACAAAATGAAAACAGTTTTTCTTATCTTAGAGAGGCAGCAGCAGAATAAGGGAGAGCCTTACTTAGCTTCCCCAAGACCATTCTAACATTAACAACTCGGTGCTCCTTAGGACTGACTACAGTAAAAATAATCTAGTAGAAAGAGAACCAGAGTTAAGACATAGGGGTTCCAGTGTCCACACTTCTAGTCAAATCAAGCCAAGTCAACAAGCATTTATTAAGCACCTACTATTTGCCAGGCAGTATGCTTTTTTTTTTCCTATTTCACTACACCCTTAATAAAAGTATGGGTGATCTCTGAAAATATAAATAAACAAATCACATGATCTTTGAAATTAATTAAGGGCCACTGTCAATAACCAATTGGAAGCCAAAAGCTAAGCACGCTGGCGATACAAAGAAAGGTGTACAGTCCCTGTAAAATGAAAAAGTTGACTTGGATTTTCTCTGACTTTCCTTCCACTCCTACATCTATGATACGATACTTGTCAATTTCTCTTATCCTATCCTTGTGGACAACAGAGAGAGCTATCAGCTTTATGGATGTATTACAGACTAAATGACCAGATTCAAAGAGTATTGATTAACAGATCAAAGTCAACTGTACAGACCGGAACTCCATCCCTGCCTTCTCATCCTTCTCATCTCTTATCCTTCCTTGTTCTTCATAAATCCTTCCCAGTTCCCCATGCGTCTAAGTCTCAGTTACAAAGGGCTGTTGATTGGCCTGAACAAAGAGAGTTTCTACTCCAATGAAATCCCAAGTTCAAACAAAAAAGGGGGTGGGAAGAGAATATATTTCCAGAAAAATAAAAGGTTGGCTATCAAAAAAATTTTCCATGGCATATAAAGTGACCCAAGCTGACTAGGAATATTTAAGAGGTCGTGGATCATCAATCAACAAGCATTCAGTAAAAGCCTACTATGTGCCAGACTGGTACAAAGAATGAATTAATCCCTATTTGAAGTGAATGTACATTCTAATGGAGGAAACAACTACATAGAAATAGACATGAAGCTAATACACACACATTTATACAAAGTATTTAGACACAAGGTATTTTGGGAGGGATGGCACCAGGACTTGGGGGGATCAGGAAAAGCTTCATGTAGAAGGTACTTAAGCTGCATCTTAGGGACATTACAAGGCATTGACGGATGCGTCCAATTGTACTACGGAACCATATCAGTACACACTGTTGGTTTGACTCACTGGTTGGCCTAGCATGAATCCAAAGACTTAGCCCAGGTCTGAACTAAACACCGTGGAAATGAAAGGTATAGCATTCCATTAAAAACAGACTTGCAAATTGCTGTCAAGAATATTGGCCAATTATTAAATGTGGCAATTACAAATATAATAGAGCCAAATTAAACAAGCATGATGCCCGAAGGCAAACCACAGTGAGTTTACACCAGATCTTAAAACATCACTGGGGA